CCCCCCATTTGTGCTTGCTGGGTTGCGCGAGCTGTTCTAGCTTTTTATAATACGTAAACTTTGAAGGGCACAAAAAGAGTTTGAGCGTCCAAAGAAAGCACAGCTGCGGTACTATATACCTAGTTCGCCGCTTGTTTTTGCCTTGCCCTTTTGTGTCGAAGAGGATATTTTGTCTTTGCGCACTACGTCGTACACTGTCACCGTTTTTGTTTCCGTGGTGCCGCGCACTCGTTGCCTCGGCATTCAAAACACCTAGATGGGGTCTGGTGGTTTGTATCCTAGTGGGCGGTGGGGCGATGTATTGGTTGGTTCGGAAGAGACCTTCACCTTGCAAGGAGGTGCACGTCAGTTGGGGTTATAGTGGGTAGGATAGCAGGGGCAGCCGGCAGCGGCAGCCCAGGAAGCATTTCAATATGGTAGTGCTCTTCGACCGGTTGCGAAATAGCCGTGCTGATGGAGTAGTAAGTGCATGGCATGCGTCTGTTGCGTGTTGCTCCCGAAGACGGGGAGGAAAACGCCAGCAACAGCTGCTGCTTGTTGCTGCCCGGATCGTTGGGTGCTCTTTGAACATATTTTTTGTTCACCCTACGAGCGAAGAGGGGATATACATACACGGTCTACAAAAATACGTCGTACATGCGCGGTACAAGCTATGCGCGGTTTGTGACGTTTGGTAGGCAGGTCGATTTATGATTTTCCTAGATGGCGCGCGTAAGGGAGGCACCTGCCTGCGTGGCTCTTTCACCTTACCACAACTGCTCCGATTAGATTTCGACGAAGCTGCTGCTGAGAGGTGTTCGAGGCTTTGGATGATTAAAGGAGGGGAAATTTGATGGGTCAAGTACCGTAGAATGTATGCACAGCCAGCGGCATGCATATTCCTGGTGGTCGCTAGGAGATGTAATGCGCAAGGAGAAGAACCAATCGGTTTTTGTCTCCCCAGATCACCTTTCCCACATAATGGGCGTTTTGCCCATACGATGGCACTCAAAAGGTAACTAAATACGTAGGCGCAGCTGCTGCTGTGGCGTAGAGTATATCACCACCGGAGCGGCGAATTCGTCATCTTTGTACTCTTTTTGGTCTCTTGAGGCGATTGGCGTAGTAGCGATATGACGGTTTGTTATGTGTTGTCAGGTCCGGGGGGGTGCGCGAGGGAGAGTTAAGTGACCTCTTTGCGTGAGTAGGTGACCACACTCGCTCTCCGTCCGTTCATTTGTATTGTTGTGTGTTTGTTGGGGATGGGCTGCATGTGCGGGCACGGATGAATGGCTCGGGGGGGGAAGCACATCGTGTCTCACGTCATCCTGTCCATACGGTCTTGTTCGTCAGTAGGTACGCTACAGCACGTGCTGACGGGTGTGTACCAGTTGTTGTCCGGAAGTCGTTTGTTCACATCCGTTCATGCGCATGGTCTTGAATCTCAATTCCCCGGCGTCCACGGAGCAGGAGTATGTACGAGTAGGGGGCAGGTATATGGACGTTGAGGAGGATGGTAGAGATTCTATTTGAATTACAAGGGCAAGGAGGTTTCTCTGTACTACTACATGACGAACCATGTGATCTACATACACTTTTTTTGCTTCAAAATGGATTATTATGCCCATGTCACATGTCAGTGTGTCATGCGAACGAGATTTTCGTTAAAGTTTGCGCACGCACGTTTCCTTTTTTATTTTTCTCGCGTGTTCCTCATGCGACGGGGCGCTTGTTATCGTCGTCACGGCGCCGGCGGTTATGTGCGTGGCTTGGCGATTGAGGGTGATGGCTGGTGCACACCGCGCCTCCCTTGTTCTGTGGAAGGGCGATGAGGACCCTCTTGCTGTTAGTCTCTCCGATCAATTTTTTTGTTGTTGATCGCGGGTATTATATTTCCTCTGTTTAAAGAACACGAAATCGCGAATCAACTATTTATACACTTGTACACCAAGCTCATTCTATCAGTTAGTCTCTCCGCGCTTTCGCCCCCCTCACCGCGGCTTGATTGATTTATTGGTTCTTTTCACCCTCACGCACACAGAGTCCGACCCTGAAGTCATTCCTTGCGTACGTACATGTAATCCATAGTTTCTGTACGCACGTGCCCCCCCCCGGCTTTCTTTGTTTCCGGTTCCGTTTTCGCTCGCCCGCGGTCATTTTCACTGCCTCTCGCCGGCGGATTTTTTTTACACAAGCCAGCCTACCCTTAACCCTGGCCATTCTGTACTGACTGCTGCTGCTGCTGCTGCCGCCCTTGTGGTTGGGAGGCCTTTCTCCTTGCTACATGGATTTTATTTTTTTTCTTATAGCAGCCCATCTTCGCCTTCTTTCCAACCATCGCCGGCCTTGCCAAACTGTGCCTTGGTTAGAGGTCTGGCGAGAGCAGCGACGTTTTTCTCGTTCTCCCTGGTGTACGCAGCAGGCAGCCGATGATACATCCCCACACATAGAGAGAGGAAGGGGTGGTGGTGATGATGATATGTTTCAATGAGGACGATTCAATCCTTCGTCTCGTCTGAACGGCGGGTTGCGTCCAAACGACGACCGATAGGACTATTTTCTTTGATTTATTGTCGTCGTTATTAGCGGTGTGTATGCTTGATGTGAGCGACGCCGCCTCGCTCGGTATGTAATTATCTTCGTCATCCACAGCGACACGGAAATTCCCGTTTAGTGCGAGCCCCTTGCAATGGAAGACCAAAAGTGATGGAGTGATGATGATACTCAACAGGAGATAAAAATGCAGGCCAAAAGACGAAACTACTTTAAACGTGAAAAGGCGCCGAATAACGACGACGACGACGACGACGACGACGACGACGACGACGACGACAACAACGACAACGAAAAATAGATGCAGAAAAACTCTATGAACCTGTATTTTTCGCCTGCACCCATGAAACACACGTAATATTTTTGTACCTGCGACACGGTCGCTTCGCGGTCAGAATACCAGTCGCACCTACCTCTAGCGCACGTTGAAAAGGTCCTTTACGGTCACTTGTTACATCCTTTCAAACACGCGGCGGTTAACATTGTCATGTTTTACCTCTTCGCTTCCTCGTCTCCCTTGGCGAAGGGGCTGCCGAGTTTCCGCTCCCGGTAGAGCCGCTTCAGCTTGATGGGAACGCAGTAGTGCCCGGCCTGCTCCGCGGTGACCATTGCTCCCGTCACGGCAAGGCGCGCCGGGGCCGGCTCCATCGCTTCTCGGAGCAAGGTGCCGACCCGTTCCACCGACATGCGCAGCTGGTTGGTCTCTTGATTTGCGCGGGAGTGTATAAATTTTTTCGAGAGACGGCGGGTTGTTGTCATGTGGTTAAATGGTGGTGATACGTTCGTCATCAATCGGGCGAGTGGCAACCCGCGAATGGGGCAAGGTGAAGAGTGTGTGCATTGGGGCTGACGGTACTACCTGTTCACTGTTGCACTACGAGTGGGCAAGAGGAACGAACCCGCTCGACAAACCTTGCCCGCGCCCCCCGGCCACCGTTTCTCGTCTATTCTCTGAGAAACAAAGGGAGTACCAGGAAGCGAGCGGGAGGGGGAGGGGGGTGGCCGCTCTCAACCTCTTCTCTCGCTGGCGCTATATAGAAACAACAACCGAAAACGTTGGGCGTACCAGCGGCGGTCGGCCATGAGCTTCTCTGCTGCGGTGCTTGTCTTCTTCACCTCCTCCTCTCGCGAGATAAACTCCGCATCCGTTTCCCTCGTCTACGTCAATGTTGGAGAGACTACTAGACTACATATTATGTAGTTCTGTCGAAGAGTAAGGGGAAGCGCGTTCTAAACGAGTTTCCCTCGCGGGAAATCTCACCGGTTAAAGATAAAACAAACGCCGTCACCGAATAACTGCGAACCCGCATCCTGCACTCGCACAATAAACCACTCCTCCGTGAGTCCGTGTTCCACGTACGAGTCACGCCTACCTGGTGCTGCTGTATGGCAGAAGGTTTGTTGATATTTTCGTCACCTAGTCTCACCTTTTCGACACCAGGACCATCCCTCCCTCTTCCTCTAGGCCATTCCCACACCGCGGAAACCTTTTCTCACAGGTTGATCGAGCTACTGTAGTACCGTCGCGCGGATCACAGAGGTGCTCGACAAACGTGACAACGGTGCCAAGGAACAACAACAACATGACGATAACCACGACAACCACGACATCCACGACATCCACGACAACAGTAACAATTGCGTTCTACTGCATACGGCAGCGACAGCCACAAAAAAACAAATACCTATTCGCGCGACCTCGTTGAAGGCCCACAGGAGGAGCTGGCGCATCTCGTCGTCGTCCCATTGCGGCCACATCGCCACCAGCAGCGGGATCACGCCCGCCTTGCCAAGGTCGAAGCACACCTCGTCCTTCTTCGCGAAGTGGATGATGGCCAAGAGGCCCTGCACACGCAGCCGGCAGATGGACTATAGGTGTATTCGGCTGTTCATGCTGCGACAAACGAGCTGTTGTTTGCTTTGAAAGGAACAACGACGACAGAAAGCTTCGCTACATGAGAGTCTGAAGCTGCAAACACAGCGTTCGCCGAAGAACACGTCAAACTATTGTCTGAGGTTTCAAAGACGCCACCGTTACGCGAAATTAGCCGTTGTATCATGTTTCCAGGGTTTGGCTTTCGCACCCCTGTGACATGCTTTCTCTGAGTAGACTGCGGATGACCTTGTCTCGTTGGTCCGTTGAAAAGCGGTGGGGGGGGGGGGGGGG